GCCCTCCTACTCAACCATTATTATTTAGTTATAGTGACTGCATATTTTTAAGCCCTTTATTATTACTGTGTGCCTATGCTAGGTATATTCATATATTCTTAGCATTAAAAAACTTTACCCAGACTGTATAAAAAGCAAAATTAATCAAGCATTGGATTGTCACCACTGAAAGTATATTTTCCTGAGTGTTGATTTCAGGTGTGTTGCAGGCTTAGGCCTGAATACACAAAAGGAGTTAGACATTTAGAAAATCACTACAAAGCCTAAGTTAGGTGCCTGAGCTCCTTGACAGTGAATGGGGAGAGAGAGGCGCCTTAGATGGCAATCCACAAAAGCCAGCCTGCTAGGAGGGGAGCTGCCCAAGCTAGTCAGTGGGAGATGCCAGTGAGAGAAGGGTGCACTAAGCCTGGCTCGTCTCAGAGATAGGTCCCTGAGTTTGGCCTGCAGAGTGGTGCCTATCTCTGCTCGGGATTCTAAGCTGCAAGCGCTCTCCTGGCTTTAGCAGGAATGCCGCCAGCTTTTCTGCCGCCCTAGGCGGTGGAAGGTCCTGCCCCGAAATGCTGCCCCCCACAGAGGCGGCGGAAGGTCCCGCCACCGAAATACCGCCACGGTCGCCGCCCCCCTCATTGTAGCACCGTAGGCGACCGCCTAGGTCGCCTAATGGGTTGCGCCAGCCCTGGGCGTTAGGCACCTATGCTGTTAATAAGAAGCCTGGAGTAGGAGGCAGGAGGAGGACCCAGTAGTTAGGATACATGGCTGAGGTGTGGGAGACCCTCAGTTCAAGTCCCCCCTTTACTTGAGGGGTAGAAGGGATTTGAACAGGGTCTGTTACCTCACAGGGAGTGCTCTTGCTTCTGGGCTATGGGATATTCTCATGTGGAACTTCCCTCAGTCTCTCCCATTCAAGTTGTTGCATTCTAATTAAAGAGTCACTGAAGTGGGCAGGGCCGGCTCCAGCTTTCTTGCCACCCCAAGCGGCGAAGTGAAAAAAAGAAAAGAAAAGGAAAGCCGATCGGCGGCACTTCGGCAGCAGCTCAATCACACCGCTTCATTCTTCAGCGGCAATTCGGCGGCGGGTCCTTCGCTCCCTCTCTTCCTCTTCGGCGGCAGCACAAAGAGGAAGAGAGGGACTGAGGGATTCGCTGCTGAATTGCCACCGAAGACCCAGACTTGCCGCCCCTTTCCATTGGCCGCCCCAAGCACCTGCTTCCTTCTCTGGTGCCTGGAGCCAGCCCTGGGAGCGGAGTCACTGGTTCCTGCGTCTGCCACCTGAGCACCCTACCACCAGGCTACAGAGTCATTCTCACGCGTGTGCTCTCTCTCTCTGGTCAAAATGACACTTTAACTGTTCCCCCTGCTGTTTTGTGTGAACTCACCTGAGGGCCCTAATCCAGTTGGCTTGCTCAGAGGCTGCCTACTGGATTGGGCCCCAGCCAGGATGACATAGGTGGACTAATGCCTATCTTTCCCAGTTTGTAAATTGGTCTGTGGGTTAGAGGGTTTAGGCGGAAGATAGGCATCCAGGTGCCTAGAGGCAGGCAGCAGTGTGCATACCCAGAGGCAGAAAAATAGGTGCCCAGGGAACTTTTATTGCAAAAACTTAGGCATCAAGTGAGTTTAGGCCTCTACAGGGTTCAGTGGGAGTTTTGTGCATCGCAGTGGACCCAAAACTGAGGCTTAGGTGCCTAAAATGGACTCAGGCACCTAACTCATTTTGTGCATTCAGATCTTAGTGACAGATTCTTGGGCAGCATGATACTAGCAGTGCAGCAACTTAGTAGACTATGTTGCAATCTCTGACCAACTCAGACTGAGGTAAAAGCGAACTGAAGTTACCACAAAGGAAGCTTTTACTTTCATTACTATGGTACGGTTCTCCTCGCACAAATAGTAATGCTCGCATATTTCAGTCCAGCCAACCAAACTCTGGGCCATCATTTAGAGCAGTGGTTCTTAACCTTTACTGCAGCCTGCACACCTTTGGTTCTCAAAATATGTTCTCGCACCCCTTAAACCTAGATATATTTTTGTTTGTATATTACAGTAATTGTTAAAAAGTGTATAATGTTAATAAATACATAGGTTTGATGAAACAAAGTAGTTGTATTTACTTGCCTGTGCTTAATTTGTGTTTTCAATTATTTACCTTCTAAAAAAATCTGGCATGTCTTGCACCCCGAGAAAAGGAATCTCGCACCCCCAGGGATGCGTGCACCCCAGGTTAAGAACACTGATTTAGAGTTATTACTTACTGAACATTCACAACATACTTGGCACTACATATTATTTGAAGGAATGACCCTTTCTTAGATAGCTCGCAGACTAAAGACAGACACAGACACAGGTTAGTCCACAGCTTGCTTGAAGTTATCCTTCAAGAGGCATTTTCATGTCACTTCATTAGTAAACTAGGCTATATATTCAGATTCATGCTCAGTATTTTCCTGCCTTCCTTTGGTCTCCTATAAGAACATAAAAACAGCTATACTGGGTCAGACTAATGGTCCATCTAGCCCAGTATCCAGTCTTCCAACAGTGGCCATGGCCAGGGCTTTCAGTGGGAATGAACAGAACAATCATCAAGTGCTTCATCTCCTGTTGCCCATTCCCAGCTTCTGGCAAACAGAGGCTAGGGACACTCTGACCATCTTCAGTAACAGCCACTGATGGCCCTATCCTCCACAAACTTATCTAATTCTTTTTTGAACCCCATTACAGTTTTGGCCTTAACAACATTCCATGGCAATAAGTTCCATAGGTTGCCTGTGCGTTGTGTGAAGAAGTACTTCCTTATATTTGTTTAAAACCCGCTGCCGATTAATTTCATTGGGTGACCCATGGTTTTTGTGTTATATGAAGGGGTAAATAACACTTCCTTATTCACTCTCTCCATGCCAGACATGATTTTATAGACCTCAGTCATATCCATCCTCAATAGTCTCTTTTCTAAGTTGAAAAGTTCCAGTCTTTTTAATGTCTCCTCATATGGAAGCTGTTCCATACCCTTAATCAGTTTTGTTGTCCTTTTCTGTACCTTTTCCAATGCTAATATATCTTTTCTGAGATGGGGCTATGAGAACTGCATGCAGTATTTAAGGTCTGGGTGTACCATGGATTTATACAATAGCATTATGATATTTTCTTTCTTATTACACTGCTCTACAGCCAAAATGCTTCTGAAATAAATGTAGTCAAACTTTACTAATTCTGGGTCACTGAGAACGAAAATGATACTTAAAATTATTGATTGGCCCTAGTGTTCAAGATATGCTATTGGGTCAGTATATACGACCCTTGACTTGGGAATGGCGGAGGATAAGTGAGTTATAAAGGGAAGGGATCTCAATTTAAGCCAGAAATGACTAAAATACATCTTTGACTGGATCTGAGGATAAATCTATGACTGGGTTTGGACAGTACTTGCTTTTTAGGCAAAACAATGAATGATGCAATCTGAAGCTGGTATTGCGTCATACATGATATGAATTGCATCACGTTATTCCTAGAAGTCATGGATGATGCAATCATAATGAAGCTTACATCACTCTGCTGAACAAATT